ATACAGATATAGACAACATTTCCCGGATCTTATGGTTTGATAGCAGCAAGGTAAAACGCCGGATGCCGTGATTGGCGGGATATGAGCAGTTGGTCCTGAATATTGAGCATCCGGTGCATTTTCACGGATTAGCGGTAAAGTGCCCCGCAGGCTTTGGGGTGAATAGGTCAATAAACAGGAAGAGGACATTGCAGATTACAGGAGCTGGAGCGTCCCGGAAAATGAGACTTAAAAAATGTAGAAGTTTTTTTTGCTGATTTCATAAAAAGCACTACTATTGCAGTAGGGTTTATAGGGGCTGGTCTATTCTTAGACTGGCTTTTTTTATGCCCCTACCTTTCGGCAAACGATCACGCTATTATGGACAATGAGTTTACCTTGCCGGTTTTGCACAAGGGGGTTGAAATGAATTTCCCGGTCCGGCTGGTACCTATGGGCTATACCTATAAGCTGATGATAACAGTGGAGGATACCACGCTTGTTTTTGAGCGGGACGAAGAGCTGAATTTAAGAGCACTAATAGATCCTGAAATGCTGGCTAAACACAAACAGATCGATGCCTCTTTGCTCGAAGCAATCAGTGCGGCACTGGCAGCTTTATTGACCTGATCTTTTATACTGCAGCCATTTTATTATGGTTGCATCTTCCGGGGCTTTACCACGTTATTCTTAGAATGCCTGTTGGCTGGATAGGCTTGCTTATTATAAAATGTCGATTTTTATCGATTTTTTATTGTTGTAATATTTTGGGCGTTATTTTATTGATCTTTGAATGTCTTGCCCCTGATAACTATGCTCAATCTATTAATAGCCGACGATCATCCTATTGTGAGGACCGGCACCAAATACACCCTTAAAGAACATTTTGAGGAGATACAAGTCTTTGAAGCCAGGAATGGAGATGAGCTGATCGCATGCGTTAAAGAGCAGCCGATAAACCTGGTGCTGATGGATCTGAATATGCCGGAAACAGACCCGCAGCGCGTGCTGCAAACCATACTGATCCTGAAACCGGAAATATCGGTGATCATTTTTTCTATGAACAAGGAAGAGATCTTTGGACTGATGTACCTGAAAATGGGAGCAATGGGTTACCTGCGAAAAGGCTGTGAGGAGATCGAGCTGGTGAAAGCCGTACGATGTGTGCTGGACGGTAATGTGTACATCAAAAAGGAGATGCAGCCTTTTTACCTGGGCAAAACAACCCTTGCCGACAAGAACAATCCGTTTACCGAACTGACGCGTAAAGAG